CATCTTGTATAAATGCATTAATAAGTCTACATGTAGAAACATGTCTAACTATGAAATGTTAAATTTGTTGCAACTAAAAATGTTTGCTACTGTAAAATGACTAATTTTCACTGGGTTTATATTTCACTGATTTACCATTTCAGACCATATTCAGTGGGTTTTAAATTCACGGTTTATCATTTAGATAATGTTATATGCTAAATTTTACATATTCACTGGGTTTTAATTTAGCGCATTTTCCAGTCAGCAAAATAAGCAAATTTAAAACCCATTGAATAATTAATCCTTCTACAGTATATTATCATTTTCTGAAGTCCTGTGAAATTTACAAAAATTCTCGAAATTAATGCAGTTCACTGTTCTCCAAATTGCTGTGTTTTTCTTGGGTGAATCTATCCTTAGTAGTTAGCTATTGTTTTTTTGTATATTACCAGACATTGATGTGTGAAGCCAATTCATTTTTGATTGAAAAATCAGTATGTATTTTCACCATTGGTAGATCTGTAAAGGACGGTGGTCATATGGGACCCATAGTGACATACACAATATGAGCATATTACGTTGTTTGTTAACAAAATTTGAACATGCGCCGTGTGGCAACCACCCTTTAAAACCGTCAGCACAATACAGCAAAGGCAAGGCTCAAAATTCGCAAGAGAAGCAATTATTGATATACCCACCTTTGAAAATAATTAAATATTTTCTTCACAATTAAAATCAGGCATTTTGAGAAATTTTAGCTACATCAAAATTGTATGCCTTCAAATTTGAAAACCTACGCCCCGCCCTTTGAGGTTCATTTGGAGGCCATGGCACTGAAAAAAATAGATCTTTTTTTAGCTCCATCTTTAGGAAAGTAAACTGTAATGACAGTCAAACAGAAACAGAACATTTCTTCTTGGTTACCGGATAGTTGTCAATTTGTGTATATTTTGTCAAATGAGCATGTGATGCAGTACTTGTTTGTTTTCACATTCATAACACTGGCGACCTTGCAAATACAACTGTTACATTATAATATAATGAACCAGTTCCAGCCGGCTGTAAACACTGTACAAGTAGACTGGTCTAAGCACACAGGGAAATGTGAAAGAGGGATTTATAAATCGGTGTTGGATGGGTGCCAAGTTGTCTAGGTCAGTAGTGTGAAATAAGAGACTATTAAACAAATAAATGGGGTTGGGTAAAGGATAGCTATAGAGGTTAGTGTTACTCATTTGAATACCATAATTTATGATGGTAAATATTTGGTTATAACATTTTACTCATTTTTATATATTTGTATTGTTTATATCAAATGGACTTAATTCTCCATTGGTGGCCTGATCTTGGTTAATTTTTTTTTTTTTTGGAAGGAAAAAAGAAGCTGGCTTCGACCATTGGTAAAGTTTGTGTCATGTAAGATTATGTTGGAGTAGTGTAATTTTTTTAAAGATTATATGAATAAAAAAATTATAACAGTCAACAAAAATTTGTGCAGTACAAACAAAAATTAATATTTGGTAATTTGAGAGGGCGTCACTGCTGGTTACTGAATGGTTCTGGAAGCTTCCAACTCAATAATGGCAGGCTTCTATGTAGTAACTATTAATAGTACGCGACTCATTTTAGTTGGCTGGCTGCAATCTGTCATCATCATTATTCGATTATATTGTTATGTTTGCAGCCATATTGTTCGATATAATACATCCTTTCCTATGTTTGTTTTTATGCTGTAAAAGCTTCAATTTTGATTTTATGATTCAATAATTTTTATTAATTCACTGTCACCTTGCCTAACTTGTCATCTTGAAAAATATCACGATTGGTTTCTTGTATCTTAAAATTGTGTTACAGTACTTTCCTGTAGTTGATCTAATTTAGATTCAATTGCGTGAGAGAAAATGGTATGACCAATAGGTTGTAGATTGGATGAGTGCCAGGTAATATGTATGTTAATGAGATGGCTGAATGCCAAGTTTAAAATAAAATGACATTCTCTGCCAATTAAATTGTGTGCTTATAAAACCATACTCTGACAACTAGTTAGTGTTCAATAAGCTTGAAGGTTTTATTATCTTTTTTTTTAAATAAAAAACCGCAAGGCTTTAAAGTGTGTCCATTGTGTGTTGAATTTAGTTGTAGCTCTGAATATAAACTTACTGTTAATTTTAAAAAAACAGTTTGAAGACACAATATGATCATATTTTGAAACTTGGTTTGATGGTATTGTTTTGATTTTTAGCAATCAATAATAGTAAAGGTGACATGATAATACAGAATCACAATCTATTATAAAATAAAGAAATCTTACGTAGCCGAAAACATGATTATAAAATGTTCTTTC